GACTGCTTTCCCAGGCCACAGGCAGGGAGCTGGATGGAAAGCAGGGCCACCTGGATTAGAAACGGTGCCCATATGGGATCCCAGAGCTTCAAGTCGAGGACTTAGGCACAAGGCTATCACGCTGGGCCCCCTCTGCTACTTTCTAAAGGGATTCTAAATGTTTTCCAAACATTTGTTTCTAACCTACTCGATCTTAAGGGGTGGAGACGGCCCAGCCTAGCTGTGTACCTGCCAGCCAAGGCAGCACCATGCCGCTCCGTGCTCAGCACTCCTGGGTTCAGCTGCGTGTCCCAGCTCCAGCCCTGGGTCCCCGCGATGCACAGACCATGACACTTAGCACCGAGCGCTGGTGACAGCACGCCCCCACACGTCTGCCCAGCCTGTCCCCAGCAAAGGAGTGCTTTTGTGAGTGCCCCCTTGCCCCGTGGTGGCTTCAGGCCAACAGGAAGGTGGCCAGTGCCCCCTCCAGCCAGTGTCGTTCGCAGCAGTGCAGTCATCCCAGGACATGCTGTGTTCCACCAGCTCGGCAGCTCCTTCCGTCTGCTTGTGTGCACGTCTGATCTGTTGTCTTATCTGGTGTGGCTTATTTTAATTAAACATATGCAGCCAGAAGCGTATCACAGAGTACATGCAGTTATGCACAGCCATATTTCTCTGGCCCTGGTGGCTAAGTTAAAGTGTGCACCTGTTGCAGTCAACTTGATTGAGGAGTCTCTTATGTAAGACCCGCCAACATAAAGGGTTCAATGAATTGAGCCAAATGCATGCACTGGGCACCAAGCCCAGGACAGGACCTGCGTCCCGCCACGTCCCCCTGTGGCCTCTCCGAGCAAACGCCGCCTTCACCCCCTGGCAACTGCTCCTCTTCCTCCTGCCTCTTCCTCCTCCTCCCAAATGCCGTGCAGATGGGCTCTTGCCGCACGTGGCCGCCTGAGAACAGCTCCGGGTCCCCAGTACCCGGCAGCACACACCCTCTCCGAGAAACAGAAGAGGCGACCAAACACCAAGCGTGCAAGCGGCCCCACTGGCGGGGACCCTGGGATCCCAGGGGAGGGGTGGGGACCACTTCAGCCTCCACCGTCACACAGTCACGAGCAGAGGTGGGGACTTTGCCCTGGCCCTGGGGGCGGGGCACAAGCCCCTTCGCTGCCTCCTCTCCGGGCTGCTGCCGGTGCTGTTGGCACCCGAGCTGCTCCAGCCCCGTCCACTGGGATGGGAGCCACCAGGAACATTCCTCTCTGGGGTCTGGTGAAGTTTATGCATTTCTTGGGGCAAGACCCTCTGGTGGGGTCGGGGGGCATGGCTCTTATTTCACCAGTGCAACCTTTGGGGGTCACAGCCCAGGAGCAGGGAGCCCCAGGGCTGGAGGCAGCTCGGTGTGGTGTGCTGGGGTGCAGGAATGGCCAGGGTGGGTCAGGAGGAAGAGAGAACAGCCAGCAAAACCTGACTCAAACATGGCCCCGTCTGGAGTGCCACTCAGATGCCGCCCTGGCCTCCGCCTCTCGGGTCTGCTGCCCTCACCCTTGCACCCTTAGCACAAGCTGCCTGGGTCTGGGGGAGACACACCCCGGCTCACGGCTGGCCGGCCGAGATTGCTGGTGTACCCCCTGGCTCAGCCTTCCAGCCGCTGCGTCTCAGTTCTCCCAGAGGGGTCTGCTCTTGGCGGGAGTCTGCTTTGACCCTGGAGGACTGGCTCTGGGTCCCTTCTTGGCTAGGCTAGGGTCACAACTTTCCCCTCGATTCCCTTAGTCCGGAGGCTTGTCCTTCCGCGGGCTAGGCTGTGGGGCGTGCGGGTACAGTGTGAGCCTTCACGTTGCCGAGCTTGCTGAAGGTGGACAAATCTGCCGCCATCCCAGCCGTCTTTGTCATGCCTCGTTCCCGTTCCCCTGCCTGACTTGGAGATGCTGTTGTTTCGGGCACAGCAGCCTGACGCCGGCACCTTCTGCTGTGGATTGATTTTGGTTGTTTGCATCTTGAGTTTTGTCTGCTAAATTTGAAACTCGCCAGCCATCTGGCTTGCCTTTTCTGCCACCGTAGTCTTCCTCCCTTCCTTGGGGCCCTGAAGCTGTGTCGGGCACAGGCACTGCCCTGGTCCCTGGGGCTCTGCTGGCCTCATCAGCCTTCTATGCTGGTTGGTGAACACTGGGATGGCCCCTAAAGATTTGCTCTCGGCCCGGCACGATAGCATAGTGGTTAAAGTCCTCGCCTTGCATGCATCAGGATCCCATATGGTCGCTGGTTCTAATCCCAGCGGCCCTGTTTCCCATCCAGCTCCCTGCTTGTGGCCTGGGAAAGCAGTCAAGGATGGCTTGGGACCTGGCACCCGTGTGGGAGACCCGGAAGAGCTCCTGGCTCCTGGCTTTGGATCAGCACAGCACCAGCTGTTGCGGTCACTTGGGGAGTGAACCATCAGACAGATATCTGCCTTTCCAATAAAAATAAACTTAAAACAAGCATTTGCTCTCAATCTTGTGGTTTTCTCCCGTCCGCCGCGCCGCGCTGCGCTGGGACGGCTTTGCGAATGTTTCTTGTATTTTTCAGTGTGAGACTTTGGTTTCTCTTACAGTTGCCGCCTGGCTTTGTGTTTAGGGGCTGGTGGCATGCACCGTCTTGACTCTGGCACTTCCTGTTGGCACACAGACTCCACTGCCAGCTGTCCCACCTGAGTCAGAGCTCCCTGCTGGCACACCAGGGAAGGCAGAGGGGGACAGCTGTCATACCCCGGCCCTGCTGCCCGTGTGGGAGACCTGGAACTCATGGCTCCTGGCTCAGGCCAGCCCTGGCTGGCTGGTGCGGCATCTGGGAGTGGTCCAATGGATGGACGGTTCTCTCTCTGTTCTTGCCTCTGGAACTTTCACTTCCAAATAGATCAACCTTTTGTGTGTACTGGACCTATGTCCCTGACCACACGTGTGTGCTGGACCTATGCCCCTGACCACACGTGTGTGCTGGAGATGTTTTCTGTCCTTCCTTCCCCAAACCAAGCCTGCTGCTGACTCACAGGCCTCTAAAGAGCTCAAACCGATTTCCCCCTACCCCGCGGTGCTTTGGATATTGTATCGAAAGACCCGGCAGTGAATCCAGGGCCCCCTAGGTTTTCTCCTGTACTGTCTTGTGGTGGTTCAGACACATTTGGAGTGAGCTGCAGAATCCCTGGGGATGGCGCTCTAACCCCGAGGTCATGTGTCATGTGTCCATGCAGCTGCTGGGACGAGAGCCAGCTTCCCAGTCTGATGTTCAAGCTCCGTGTCCCTTCACCAGCCTCGCACGACTAGCACGTGTTCCACGGGGACATCCTAGTTTTCTGTCCACTGCGTGGCTGCAGCAGCAGTTTCAGGGGCGTGGACACCCGCCCTAGCTGTGTCGTCTGCATCCACATGGTTTGCTGGCATTGCAGGCGAGGGCTTAGCCTGAAAGGCCAGCGCATGTGCGTGGTGGGCCTGGCCCATCTGCGTCTGTCACCACTTTGGAGGGCTCCCCGTGCAGTGCCCTCCTCCTTGTCCTGGCTCTGTGCCCAGGCGTTCCTGGCCTCGTCAAGGTTTACCATTCCTGTTGCTGCCAGGTAAAGATTCCCATTTGTTTTTAAATCTGCCTGATTTTGGCATTTTTTTATCTTTCTTTACTTTTTATATAAAATTGATAGAATTTGTTTTTAAATTCTTGCTTTTTGTTTATGTTAAAGTCAGAAACACAGAGCTAGATCTCAATCTAGCCACTGGGTGGCCGCCCAGGGGGCATCACAGCCCGGAGTGGGCACCAAGAGCTGTCCAGGGGGCACCACAGCCTGGGAGTGCCAGGAGGAAGCCCCGTGCCCAGGGTCTCCTGGGCGGGCACCCTGGCCCGGAGCGCTGGAGCCGTCACCGCTAGCAAGTTTGTGTGGCTTCTCCACCAGCTTGCTTCCCTTTGCCACCAGCCCACATGCCAGGGAAAGGGTGAGGCTTGTGCACGGGGGGCCTGAGGGGGAGTAACATCCGGCAGGGGAGGGGACGGAGGGGAGAGAGCTCACCTTGCAGCCGCCCAGTGCTTCCCGCTGCAAGAGCCTGTGTACACTCAGCTTCCCCGGGGGACCCTGCAGAGCCCTGTGCCCAGGCTGGCAGCATTGAGCTCTGAGACTCTGAAGCGAAGTCAGCCCTTCCCCTCAGCAGACCCTCCAGCAACACCCCAACCCTTCTCAGACCCTCAGCCAGACCAGGGCCCAGCTCTCATCTCTGCCAAGCCGCCCAACCGGCCTGCCGTCTGCACCTCACTCCACCCAGCTGAAGGACGGGCCTCGCTCTCACAGCTCGTCTGAGGGGGCCCTGCCCCACATCTTGCTCCCCCAGGACTGTCTTAATTCTTCCACCAAGATTCTGTCACCCCCCATCTCTGCCTGCATATGCAGGGCTGGCAGGACGGTGACCACTTCCTCCAGGTCACTGCCCCGTGACCCTCGTGGAGCCCCCACCCAGCACAGCCTGGAGCTCCCTGCTCTACTTGGGCGTGGCACCATCTGGCACCTATGCCTGTGTTCCCATTGCTGTGACAAGATGCCCACGGCTAGGGGGCCTGTGAGGAGGTCTCAGGCAGGAGTGTCCACTGCCGGACCACGCCCCTTTAAGGAGTCTGCCCCATCTCCGATACCTAACGCCCCCAACAGCAGCCACCACCTCCAGGGTCCCAACCAGAGCCACGCCTCCAGCTTCGGGCCAGCACCTGAGGTTTCCTGGATCCCCTGCGAGCTTTTCTGTTCCACAGCCAGCGTCTGTGGGTGTCAGAGCCAATGCCACCCTAAGAAGCAGGCTGAGGGCTGAGCCCACCGCGAGGGCACTCACTGGGGCCAGCCAGACTAGGGCGGGGCTGCCCAGGGCCAGTGGGAAGTCCTGGGAGCCCCGCCCAGCGGCCCAGAACCTGTGACCCGGCTTCCCCAGCTGCACCTGGAGGCCAGTGCGAACTCTGTCATATTTAATAGAATTAGGTAAAAAAGCACGCGCCCACTGCCCACCCCGCGAGCCGAGGCTGGCTCAGGGCACGTTGCGGGCCAGCTCCGTGACGTCCTCCAGGAAATTCCGGTAGAACCTGCGGCACGCCAAGTCTCTGTCCTCCCTCAGGGGCTCGAAGCCTGCAGCACAGACGCCCTGTGAGGGCCTGCGCAGCCTGTCCTGGGCTCCCAGCTGCCCCATCTGAGGCCAGGAGAGGCAGGACCGCCGCTCAGGCGGTGCAGGCCGCGAGCCCCACGCACATTTCTTGACGAGTGACAGGTCGCCCTTCCTCAGATAGAAGCAGAGCTCTGTGAGGTAGTCCTGCAGCAGGGCACCTGCAGGTTGGACGGCAGGGGCAGAGCCACCACTGAGGCTGCGACTCTGAGGTAGCTGGCCACGGCTCAGGGGCGCAGCCACTCTGGCCGGCAGGCCCTTTGTAGCACGCTCGGAGACATGATTGTGGCAGAGGTTTGGGGCGCAAGCAGCCGGGGGACAGGGGCTGGTGCCTACCGATGAACTTCATGGCGGCCAGCTTTAAGGGCCTGTGTGGGCTCCCCAGGTAGGTCAGGGCCTGCAGGAGGAACTGGTGGTACTTGCCAAAGTTGCTTTCCACCTGCAGGCACACAAGGCCAGGCTGGAGCCAGCTCGTGCACCAGGCCTGGCCATGGGCAGCCACGCTCAGCCTGGGGCTTGGGCCCTAGGAGCCGGCTCTATCACGGGCCCAGCCCACCCTGCCTCCGGGACTGGCCAGCACCCTGCGGGGCAGGGGTGGAGGAGAGGGGGTTTGGAGATGTGGTGCAGCCGCTCGGGAGGACCGAGTTCCAGCGAGGCCCGTCCCACCGGGGGGGCCCACACCTTACCACATATACAAAGACATCGTTTTCGGCACCCAGCCCGTGACCCCACGCCAGCTTGCCAAACAGCTCCTTCCGGAACTCCCACTTGAGCAGGACGGCACAGCGCAGGAACGTGGACTTGCACTTCTGCAGGCCAGCACAGGGGACACTCACACGGGGGCCCCTAGGCAGCTGGCCGGAAGGGCACTCGGGGCCCTGCCTGTGCCTCCTGAGAAAGCCGAGACGCCACCTGGTGCCTTGTTCTCGCTCGTGGGACACGTCTCGCCAGCAGCCATCTTAGCTCCCCCAGGCTTCCTCCCAACCCAGCGACAGGCCATATGCCGCCCTCAAGAGCCCCGGCCTCTGGTCTCAAGACTCCTACAGGCATTGTCTGCCCTGGGCTGCATGTGGGCTCCTCTAATCCCGACCCCCAGGACTTCAGGGTATAAAAGTGCTTAAGGTATGGGACCCTCAAAGAGCTGGAGATGATGTGCCGCCCCCCACAACCCACCACCACACAGATGACCTCATGAGGATACAGAGGCCACTTCACCCTGTCCTATGATCTCCAGGATGGAGAACGGAGACCACAACCTGGGGTCAGGGTCATGGCCCCTGCTAGACTACAGCCACTATGCCCACGCCTGGCTGCTCCCTGCTTGGCTGGGCCAGGGACACTGTGCCACCCACTTCTCATCTCCAAAGCCCTCAGTCCCCTCTCTCCTGGGCCACCCTGCCTGGGGCCCTGAGGCAGCGCTCTGCCCCCGGCCTCCACGCCAGGTTCTGCCCACGGCAGGTGTTACATGAATGGGCCATCTGAGCTCAGCCAGCCTTACTCCCCTGCCTCTCTCCAGGGGAGTAGCTTAGCATCCTGATAGCTCAACCTGACCCTGGAGTTTCTGGGGTCCGGATCCAAATGGGTCTCCCACAGCGGCCGACTTTGGTGCCCCTACCATATCATCTGCTAAACTTAGATACTGTGCCTCTACAGGTCTCCCACCCATTTAGCCATTCACACACCTGCCCACCCATGTACTCATCCATCCATCCATCCACCTACTTATCCATGAATTCATTCACCCACTAACCCATCTGCCCATCCATCCATCCACTCATCTATCCATTCACACATCATTCCTTCCATCCATCCATGCGCTCACACATTCTCTCAACAGTGCCTTTGCCAAGCTCTTAGCTGAGGGCTGAGCCTGCAGACACAGCCCTGGGGCGCATCCTCTCAGTCTAGCCATGGGTCTGGAGGTCTCCTAGTTTATGCATCTGGGGCAGGTGGGATCCTGGCAGGTAAAGAAGATGTGACACTTCTCAGCATCTCTTGGGAAAGTTCCAGGAGAGAAAGGCGGATTGCAGAAAAGAGGAAGAGGCCAACCCTAAGCAACCAGCATGGAAAACAGCCACCCAGGCCGACAGCGGGGGACCTAGCCCGGACAGCTCACCAAGGCCACTTGGGGGCAGGGGTCCACCAGGTGCAAGAGCAGGGGCACCACGGCCTGGAAGGCGAGGCTCTTGAACGCCTGCCGGGTCTTCCGGCTGCAGCTTGCCATGACATCTCCGAACAGTAAGATGGCACCACCACGCACCTCCTCCTGCTCCTGGGGGAGGGAGGCAGGCACCCCGACAGGCAAGCCACAAGTGGAGCCCTTTTAGCCTCCTTGGAACCCCTTCCTCTCTGCCCAGCTACCTGCCCTCACATCCAGACTCAAGCCAAAGATCAAAGCAGCGTCCACTCCTGGGCAGACTGGCAGGAAGCAGTGCCCCCACCCTATCCAGGGCAAGCCAGGGTTGCCAGGGCCCGGGGCTGCTGTGGGCCCCTCCCCCACCCGCTGCCCTTCTCAGCGGCCATCCAGCTGCTCACGTTCTCGAACAAGGACAGCAGGTGCTGGGCGAGCTTGAGGCTGACGGAGACAACACCTTGCAAGCCCAGACACTGCAGGATGTCGTGTAGGACTGCCATCAGCCCCGTGAGGTCCTTGCTGTCTGGCTGCAGGAAGCTTTCCAGCAGCCCCGCCATACGGTTCCTCAGCAAGGACACCTGGAACAGAGAGGCATCGCCGCCACATGGGAGCCTGTCCAGGGGACCCAGGATTCCCAGTTTTACCACCGTGGGCTGGGAGCTTGGGCCTGGTGGAAGTGGGGGGCAGAATGGGAGACCAGTCAGGAGGGAGGGCAAAGCTGGACAGTGCCCCTCGCACAGCCCTGGGACAGAGCATAAAGAACAAACAGACCAGACTCAGCGGGGCACCTGGATCTCAGCCCCAGCATCAGGCCAGGGGAGCCGGGCCAGAGTCCTCCCTGCTGGGTGTGGCCGGCAGCAAGGGTTGGTCAGCAGTGGTCGTCTCCAAGATAGAAAGTGTAGCATCCTGTCCTCAGAGCACACATGCCCTGCAGCACCTCCCCAGAGCTCACCCCTCACCTTCTTAGGGTGCATGGCGACGCTGCTGAGGCCCTTGAGGCTCATAGCCCGCACCAGCTGGTTGCAGTTGCCCAGGCCCTGGCTCAGAAGGTTGTCCAGCTTCTTCCGAGACGCATACTGGAAGACCTCAGGGCTGTGGAGGAACTGGGAAGGGCCGTGCTGGCTGTCAGCCTGGCCAGCGGTGGGTCTGCTGGGGGTCCAGTGGCAGGGTGCTGTGGGCAGGGAGGGGCTGACCTCTGTGAGGAGCAGGATGGCTACCACGTTGTCTCGCTCCTCCATACTCTTCAGGGAGATGACAGCCTGGCCCAAGACGGCCTTCACCTCACAGTCATGCTGTACCATGGCCCTGTGGGCAACAGGGGGCTGCGGGAGTCCACAGAGCTGCAAGGCAACCTGGCCCCCAGCACCACCTCTCCCCTTAAAGCAGACTCGAGCTGCCAGGTAGCTGGTCCAACACCTGCCCCTGGGGATGAGTGCTTCCCCACCAGGATGGAGTGTGGCCCAATGCCTGCTTCCCCCACCAGGACGGAGTGTGGCCCAATGCCTGCTTCCCCACCAGCACTGAGTGCGGCCCAATGCCTGCTTCCCTACCAGCACTGAGTGTGGCCCGATGCCTGCCCATCCCACCCCGGGCCTTTATGCACACCAGCACCTGCCCCTGGGCTAATCTGGAATGGAAGTAAGGCAATGGCTCACCTGGCCAGCAGGATCACCCCATCTGCATAGGTGTCCAGCTGCTCCAGGAGCTCCCAGCCCCTCAGCAGCTGGATGGAGGCGAAGACCTCCCAGTAGTTGCTTGTCCAGAAGAGCCCCTTGAGGGCCTCCAGGCAGGTCCTGCAGGCAACAGGTGCAGGACCCCGTTCACTCCCAGCACTGAGCCCAGATCTGGGGACCTGGATGTGCCAAGGGAAGAGGTGGGTTGGGGTCCCACCTGCAGGGCCCGAGGGGCTTGCTGTCCAGCATGTCTTCCTGGTAGTCGGCCATGCCCTCCACCACACCTAGCTCAAACAGATAGTGGAGCTGAGTGAGCAGGCCCAGGAGCATGCCGGCAAAGGCCCAGCGGATTGCCGACCTGAACTCCTGGGTGTATAGCAGCTCGTAGATGGTGCCCAGGGCCTGTAACGGATGACACAGTGGACCCTGGGGTACCCCCGTGGGTTACCCCCAGCAGGGAGGAGCTGGCGGCCATGGCCACATCCATTTGGGCTGGTCATGAACCTGCTTCCTCCCCATGCCACGGGGGGCTGATCACTGCTCAATTCTGCCCGGGGTGGTCGCCCTCTGGCCTCAGCCCTGCCAGTCTCAGGGCAGGCCTCTGGTCCTGCCCGGCTCCCTGCTCCAAGGTGCTGGTCTCTAGGCTGTGACCGCCCCTGGGGCTGACCCCCAACAGCCCCACTCCCCCAGGGCCAGGCTGTGAGCGGCACAGAGCTGTGGTCAGCATGTCCCCAGCCCAGCTGGCCACTGGAGGCAGCTGAGCACTCTACTCCTCCCCGCCCCCAGCCCTCTTGTCAAAGGGCAGGCCCAGCAGGGTCATTCCTGGGTCACGCTGAGCCACGGCTGCCCAGTGCCCTTGTAGGGCCCCTGGCCAAGCCCACTGTCCACAGCCACCAGGAACAGCCTTGCCGTGCCCATGGCCCCAGCTGCTCTTGTTCTCAGCTTGGTCACCACAGCAGGTCCCCGCACCCACAGGGACTGATGTGTCCGCAGGAGTGCACCCGTGGTGCTCGGTCAGCTTACATCCGGGGACCTGGTGGGGTGGGGCTCTGTGCAGTGGGGGTCACAGTAAGCAGGAGACGATGACCCTCTGACACAACCTTGCAGGTCAGGTGCACAGTGAGGTCAGCACGGGGCCATCCTGGGCCGCCCAGCCACCCCGCGTGTGTGGCCCAGGGCTGCTCACCAGCAGGGAGATGAGCTGGGTCTGGCAGCTTGAGCGGGTCACGTCCCGGGGTGGCCTCAGTCTAAGCTTCACATACAGCAGAGTGATGACTCTGCGGGCCAGCCGGCAGTCTGCGGCCAGGGCCTTCCACAGGGGCAGGGTCCTCCTGCGGACACAGGCCTGTCCCACCACTGGCTGGAGAGGAGCCGGCCCCCGGCAGGCGGTTGGGGGCTAGGCTGTGATGACCAGGGTGGGCTGTGGATCCGAGCCCAGCACTCCCACCTGGGCTTGCCTCCCATCCCTGCACAAGCAAGTCATCAAGGGGCCTGGGAGTCCTGGGTGGGAAGCCTAGCTAAGTGTGCCTCACGCAGTTGGCCTGTGGCCCATAGGCAGGGAGTGAGGCATCCACTCCTGCCCAGGAGCACAGCTGGCCCCCAGGGATCTGGCCAGTCACTGTGCAGCGCGTAGGATGCCCAGCCCTGCCCTCTTTCCGCATCCCTGCACGTGATAGGGTGAGTAGGGCTGGAGGCACCTGCCTCTCTGAGGGATGGCACAGGGACAGCACCACCTCCACTGTCTCCTGGGGGTGCTGGCTGCCCAGGGTGGTCATGGCCTTCAGAATGGTCTGCTGGACGTCCTGCAGGGGGATGTCTGGTAGCTTCTGGAACAGGCTGTGCAGGACTTCCGCCACCTGCCACGGCAGAGGTTACAGCCCTCCACCCCCTGCCCAGAGCAGTCTGGCCTGACACAGCATCCCCTGGACCCAGCCAGACTGCCCTGGCTCCCTCCCGCCTGCTGTGAATGGGGCCGTATGGGCGGTATGGGCGGGGCCTCTGTGTCGGTCTGCCCACCTGCTCCACCTTGAGCCCCGCCTCCTCAAACATCATGAGGAGGAGCTTGGAGGCCAGGTCACAGCGCAGGTGGTTATGGCTGCAGAGGCTGTGCAGGAGGGTCAGGACCAGCTGTGTGTGCTGTGCCACCGTGAGGTCCTGCTCGAAGGCCTGTGCCGGGCAGTGAGGACCTGGTGTCACTCCCAGCCATGGTGGGCAAGGCACATGGGAGGAACACCAGGGGGTACAGTGTGCACAGGCCTGCCCCATGTGGGGCCAGTGGGGGCTGGCACCCCTCCCCCACCCCTGGCTGCGAGGCTGTGACACCGGGAGACCCCAGGGCCTGAGTGTTCCTCACTTGGAAACTGAGGCCCACAAAGATGGCCTGGATGGCCCAAGGTCACCCAGCCAGTTAGTGCCAGAGCTCAGATCAAAAGCCAAGTACCTGGCTCCCGGACAAGCACAGGAGGGCATAGGCCACGGGTGAGGAGGGAGCCGGAACTGTCCCCAGGAGGGAACTGGGACCAGGAGTCCCCAGAGAAACAAGGCCCAATATGAGGTCCCCCACAGAGGCCAGGCAGCACCTTGGGACCCACCTGCAGGCCAGAGGCCAGAGTGTCATATCAGGGGAACAGGGGATGCGGACATGGGGTGCCAGGGAGCCGAGGGCAATGGGGAACCTCACATCACATCCTTGGGCAGCCAGGGGCTTGTGTGTGGACGTCATCCTCGGCCCCCAGCCCCTCAGCCATCCCTGGGCCCCCAGCCTTCAGCCACCCCTGTCACCCCAGCCCCACTTCCCCTCAGCTATCCCCGGCCCCCAGCCCCTCAGCCACCCCAGGCCCCCAGCCCCTCGGCCATCCCCGGCCCCCAGCCCTTCAGCTAGCCCCGGCCCCCAGCCCTTCAACTAGCCCCATCAGCCCAGCCCCACTCCCCCTTGGCCGTCCCCAGAACCCATTCCCCCTCCCCCTTGGTCTTCCCGTCACCCGGCCCCCTGCTCACTTTGGCCATGCTGTAGAGCTTCGCCTCCCAGTCTCTAGGAGACCAGAACTCACTTTGCTTCAGCTTATTTGGGTAGATGGCTTCCTGTGTCTTCCCTGGTGCGAGACAGCTCGTGGGGAGGGGTGCCGGCCGGGGACCCCAGGGGTCACCGTCTCCCGCACAGCCGGCTCACCTTTCTGCTGGACTGTGAGCTGCAGCAGCAGGGAGACACACTGGTGGGAGCACCTGCAGGTCGTCCTGTCCTCATCCCGCCACAACAGGGTCAGCAGGCCGATCTGGTGGCCCAGTGCCGAGGGCGTGGCCTCCTCCTGGGAAGGGGGTGCAGTGAGCAGGGCAGCTGGCTGGCCCGGCCTGTCCCTGCCCTTGGTGCCTCATCTAGCCCGGGGCTGGCCAGCCTCCAGGACAGACGCCTGGTGGGGCCGAGAGGGGCGGTCCTTGGTTCCTGTCCGTCTTTCAGGGCTGCTCGGTCACTGAGGGCCGGCCACACGTTCCTGACCACGCAAGGCGCCGCGGCCACTGTTAGCTGTCCAGCCCTGCGGGCCCGGCCCGTGCGGACTCAGTCTC